CAAGAGTGGGACTCGCGCTCCCCTAGTGGCGTAGTTATAATACTGTTCTGTTGACATGACACTGTTCCGTTTCAGTCAGTGTTCCACCACAGTTCCGCGAGCGCTCGCGTACTCGCGATTCTTTGAAGCCGACTGAATCGCGAATCGCCACTCTCAAATTTGACGAGCAGGATCCAGCCCTATCACACGGGAGTGGGCGCTATAGAAATGATCTACATTATTATTAATACTATTATTGAGTAGGTGTTTTACAGCACTATCGGGCCTGGGCTAGGGAGAGAAAGAACTGTCACAAAGATGAGTAAGAAATAAGACCCTCCGACCACTGACCTTGCTTCCCCCACCACTGCCGCCACCGCTCTTCTTCCCAGAGAGACGAGACCTGACCAGGCTCTGCAAAGTGCTCAGGGCACTGTCCACGATCGACTGAGCTGATCTTGCGCCTGAAAAAAGAACAATTTTGTTTTCTTTCTTTTCTTCTGAACATCCTGTTATTGTGAATCAAGCAGCCTGAGCTTTTGCTTTTCAGCATTGCGATGACATGTTGCAGATGTCAGCCTCAAATCACACATCAAGCACACTGATAAATATTATATCAAAACCCTATCCCAAGAAGGATAATTCTAAAGATAGCAAAAGCTTAAACATAATCCACCAAACAATACCATTTTTAATTAAATATCCAACAGCAAACTGAAGGAAATGGGAACAGAAGGACAAGAACTCCGCAAGAATGCAACAAAGAATGTGCAAGAATATATTCATCCCTCTTTTGCTTCCAGATGGCATAAGAAAAAAAAGGAGTAATTCAGAATCAGAGCCTTTGTCCGGAGCATTAATAGTTTGAAATCTAATTCTAGTTCATCAGTAGACCAATGTTTTCCCCTCTATCAGGCCTTGTCATCCTTTCATTTATAATAAGTACCAAAAACTTTGGGTATTGATTTGATTAATATGTGTCACGAAGTGGTGGAATCAGGCGCTCGTCAATATTTGGCCATATGGAGTTATTGGTATCAACTTAAAGCCTGTTCATTTACCTTGCTTTTGAGGGGAAAAAATATCCATTTATCTTGAATAGAAATGGAGATATTTGCGATTGAAGGAGTTGGGGTCGCCTTGTTTCAAAGGTAAAATGAGCAAGAAAATGGCCGCCAAAGTTTAGTGACTTCCAAAGCTTAAGAGTCCTTGGAAACTGCAAATATAAATTTGTTGTGCCTGTAATCAACATTTTTCCATAATATCCACACCTAAAAGTGTTTTTGAATGGACATACAAGGTGTTGAGCCAAAAAACAAAAATTCGAAAAAAATCCCAAACTGGCCGAATAATGACGGTTTCTCGAATTTCATTATTTTGATGAGCGCCTGGTTTCATCGCGATGCCTCACATATGTCCACAGAAAAGTTCCCAGAGAATGAGAAGCAATAAGGCAAACCTTGAAAGTCTGTGGGCTTGAACTTGTTCTCCCCAAACACTTTGATGGTGGGGAATCCCTGTACTCCGTACTGGCCACCCAGGCCCCGGTGATCGTCCGCGTTGACCACACCCAGCTTGACCACACCCTGAAGTACAAGTACAACAAATTAACTGCCTTGTCAGATTTAGTATACAATATAAATATTTAACTTCTTCCAACAATTGCATAAAACGATAAAATCGCACCGAATATTTTCCTGTCACTCAAATTTGACAAAGGTGTTTAGTTTTAGTAGAGGTTTTACGGCACTCCCAACTGCATAGGTCATATATATGAGCGCCAGATGATAAGAGGTGTTACAAGAGAGTAACACACATAAAAAAGAAGAAGGGGAGTATAAGGATGATAAATGTTTGATAGGAAAGAAGGAGGAAACCACACCAGAGCACCCGCCAACCACCCACACAAAGGTGTTTGGAAAAACAATCGTTGAGTGGTCAAACTAAATCTCACAAGTAGTAGATGAAATAATACAAGATTTACAAATCTCTGAAACAAGGCTGGGTCTTATCAACAGTTCTACAAAAAAACTAAGAAAAGTAAAGATGTCCAATTTGCACCATTACAAGAGTCGAATAAAAAGATAAGAACTTAAATGCATTGCTGCTCATTACGAGCCAGAACAAGAGAGCAACATCAACAAGAAATAATAAATGAAATATATGTGTAAAATCCTCTGCAATCTCTCCACCACGGATATTTCAAACAATACAAACAGGCAGTCATACTAGAAAGCTTTTATAAACATAAAGCATGATTCGTTATCTCAACTTTAACTGTAACAAAAAGTTACAATGAATGAAAAGTCATATGTTCTGAATAAGAACCTGAATCAAAATATAAAATTGTACGGGCCAAAAATAACAATCACATCTTCATTACAAATACCTTCAATGCTGAGGCAGCTTTTTTCCACTCTGGAGCAAGAGATTTACAGTGACCACACCTGAGGAATAAGCAATATCACATAGACCTTTAATTCTGCACATTTATGATTGCCCTGAGAGGACAATTTGAATTTTTTTAACTACACTCCCTTCCTCAAAACATTACAACTAGGCAGAGAAACCCTCTTCTATCATGCACTCCAGAACAAATGTAACAGCCAAAAAGTGGCATTAAAAATATGGAAAAAAAAAAGGTTTATATACAATTGCTCGGTTTCCTTTTTTGAACTGAAACATGATCTCGGATTCAAATTGACTGCATCTGATCCAAAATTATACACATAAGACAAAATTAACAAAAACTGCAACATTTCACAAGCACAGCTTTTTCTAAACATGAGAAAATATTTGATAATAAAGCTTATATGAAAAAAACCCAGCTTTACTTTACATGACCAGGCAAAACTCACCGCGGCTGCTAAGAGAATAGAAAATAGGTGACTCCCTCTACAAAGAATAAAAATCGTAAGAGACCTAATCACATGACTTCAACTTTATTAAAACTCTACAGAAGAAGAAAAACTTACCAAGGGGCATAAAACTCGACAAACCACAAGTCATCGCTGTCCACGACACTCTTGTGAAAGTTGCTGGGTGTCAGCTCAACGACATCATCACCTGGACTGTACAGTCCGTGTACGCTGACCACAGCCACAGCAACACAAACGAACAACACTGACAGGGAAGAACAAACAAGATCTTTGTTAAATCATGGAGAATTTCCTCTAAAACTAAACACCTTTATACTTTATGTGAGCATGTCAAGAAGTACAAATAGCAGCAACAGTTGGGGAGGACTTCCATAACGAGCGACCACTATGAGACAGAGTAAAACAGAGGGATAGGGGACAGAGGTAAGGGCAGGGGTCAGGGTTAGGGCTAGAGATAGGGTTAGGGATTGAAGTAGGGTTAGGGTTAAGGATAAGTCTTTTCTTTATTGTGTCTGTATGGGTGGTCACTCGTTATGGAAGTCCTTCCAACAGTTGTATAGCAGACGACAAAGAAATCAGCCATTTCACCAAAAAAATCATCATTATCATCACATAGACATGAAGTTAAAATCAAGACAGGAAAGAACAAATTTATAAACAGCTAGCTAAAAATGAAGAACTTCTAGACCAACCCTCTGTAGTAAGCGTGTAAGTCAGCAAAATTTTGCAGTCTTTTTGGGGGGATCAAGTCCGCTAAGTACTGTAGGTTGTAAGCTGCAGGTGCAGGGCCTGGCCTACGTCAGTATAATATCACATTTTCTGTTTAATTACTGAGATAAAAAGCCAGCCTTCATTTAGTCAAATATAGACCACCATACCATTCACTTCCATTTTTTTGGTGTGTGAAAAAGGGTGTGTACACATCAATGTATCCTGAAGGCCCTACTACACATACTGACTCTATAGATCTAGTAACTTAGTTATTAACTAGTACTAATAAGTAAGTACTGCAGTAACTTAAAAGTTAAAAGAGCATTGCCTACACTACACTCCTGGCAAAAAAGACTAGCTAGATCTAGATCTATAGACCATACAGTCATTGTAGACCTACACACTTAGTCTTCTATTTTTAAATTCTAAGACTGTCACTGTCACAGCATGTGCAGAGGTAAATTTTCAGCATTACCATCACACTGTCAAGACTTTACCAATTTCGCATTATTATTCAATATATGTATGGCTTGATCTTATACCTTCAGTCACTTCAATACACCTGCTTTTCGAAATAACTACAAAGTAGTATCCACGCCCAGGCCTCACTTTCTCATTCTGATTCCCTCGCCCTGGGTCGTGGCCCATGGGTTGTGGGGCAGATGGATTTGTGGTGACTGATCATTCAGACAAACTTTCTTTTTTCCAAACTACATTTATAATAAAGTTCTTACGTCACGTTTAATCCGAATACAGAAAAATGAGGCGTCTATTCTCATTCGAAAACTATGATCTTTATTCTTTTTCGCAGATGGGCGGTGGCCCTTGATGAAATGATGATCTTATCTTGTGAAAGTACAATAGAAGAGTGAGCAGTGCTTTTTTGGGGGGCATTTTCCCTGTTCACAAAATCTATTCCACGAAGAAATAAAATACAGCATACCTGTGCAACTCATTTTGTTTTCACCGAGCAAGATCCGTGCTCAAATAAATCCAATCAGAGATTCCCTTCTCTGAGAAATCTCTGTTTACCCCAAGCCGGTACCTAACTTGCAGACCAAGCTTTCCTTGCGACAACAACTTTCGGTATCGCCGACGAATGCAGCAATAGCCTAGCGAACTGAATAGGGCACATTGTCGTGGCTTGCCCTGATTGGACAAAAGTGGAGATTTACGTGGTTTCATCGTGGTCGCTTCCTAGCGGGCAATAACTGTGGATTTATTTGGTTTTCAACCGTTTTCCCCCCTTTTCCCGATAGGCTTACGTGTACCTTCGACAATTCGTAGCGTGTAGCCTGTGTCAACTAAGATGATAATTAGATCTAGATTCTAGATCTACTTTATCATTCAACTGAACAAAGTGCGAATCATGCTGATAATTATATTGGTGTTAATCTCACAGTAGAGGCTGTGTATGATTTTTTTTTAAGT